GGGCAAAATAAGAAATACAAAGAAAATAAATCCTAAATTCTAAGGCACCCCAAAATATAAGGGTAAAATGGGAAATTTAAGCAAAATAAATCCTATGTCTAAGGTACCCAAAATACAAGGGTAAAATGGAAAATTAAAAACAAATCTTATACTAATAAGGTTTAGGAGCTAAGGTCCACTAACCCAAAAGTAGACCCACTTCTCCTATGGTTTTCAAAACGAACCCATTCCTCTCGACTCCTTCAATATATCACCCCTTGGTCTTCTTGGCCTTAGCGTGATTTCATCATTTTTTGTACTACATAATATCTTATCCTATTACCTAATATTTATTTTATTCTTGTAAAATTTGGACAGGCTACACAACTTGCAAACATAACTTTCTTAGGAGGCTTGAACAATTTCGTGAGATAAGCCTAGAAATTCGTTGATGGATTGATGGTATTTCACTAGAAAAATGGAGCCTCTCCCATGATGATGAAGGTTGCAGATAGGATTACATGACTACAAACTTGTTTGAGGCTATCAAGAAGATCTTAAAGGGTGCCCCTAACTTGCCAATAACAACTCTTGTAAAGTGTACATATGTTAGGTTAATTGAGTGTTTTCTGCAAAGGTTAGGTCAAGCAAACGCAGAACTTATTATGGTTGGTAAACGATATTTTCAAAATGTAATGGATGTTATGCAGAACAATCAAGAGGACGCAACATCTCATTTTGTTCGAAGATATGACTATGAGGTCGCTAAATTTGAAGTAGAAGAAGCTTTCGATCCAATTATACAAAGAGGTGGTCATACTTGTACAGTAATTCTTAATGAACGAAAATGTGAGTGTGGTGCTTTCGAAGCTTACAGATATCCATGTTCACATGCCATTGTCGCATGTGCTTCTGTTCGCGTAGATCCCTTGAACTATGTTGATGCTACCTATTCAAATGCATATATTAAAGAGGAATATTCTGGGCAATGGTACCCATTTAGTAATGATGACAACATTCTTCCTACCAATGGATGTCACATTGTCCCTAATCAAACTATGTTACGTGCTAAGGGACGTCCAAAATCAACCCGTACAAGAAATGAAATGGATTGTACAGTCTCAATGGAGACAACATTGTGGACATTGTAGGGTTGAAGGTCATAATAGAATAAACTATCCTCAACTAGCATCAAATATCAATGATGACCTTAATCATTAATGTGTATCCAAAATCTTAGTCATATAATAATATTCAATCATGTATATAAGTTTTATATATTTTACTAATGAAATTCTTAAGTTGGATAATGATTGTCTATTTGAATAAATATCCTATTCAAAATAATCAACATATTTAATTATTTAAAAAATTCAAATATTTATTTTTATTTCACTAAATAAACCTACATATTTTCTATCTTTCTATTAAAAGATAAAAATAAATAAATTAATATGCAACATGATTATTTTTAATGCAAATTAATTACAAAACAAGTTTTAAAGCCTATCACACTATTAGTAGCAATAAATAAAATTATGATAACAAATATTTACATTTATTAATACTATTACATTATCATTATAACCTAATACTAAATCTTAAACCTTCAACTCAATAAACTCAAAACTCAAAACCTATTCGATGTTTGGAGCAAAACCACTTAGCGCTTCATAAATCTGTTAAGCGCTTTTAGGGTTCATAAATTAGTGTTATCTGATAGAACTAGGGTGTGGGAGGAAAACACTAAAATCGTCACGGGGAAGAAAAAAATTATACTAAAAACATTAGTAATGTTGACGTTTTTAGTACAATTTTTGGATTCAACTGAAAATGTTAATAGTATTGATGTTTTTAGTACAATTTTTTTCCTTCTATTGAAAACGTCAACAATACTTACATTTTTTGTACAATTTTTCCTTCACCTAAAAACGTCAACTATACTGATGTTTTCCTTGTAAAGTAAAGTTGTCACCCGTGTTGACGTTTTGATTGTAAATGTCCATGTGGCCAAAACAATTTATTTCAATAAATTATTTTTTAAATAACTTATTTATGGAAATGTTAAATTTTTTATTTATTCAAGCCAAAAGGCCCATCGAGTTGGATCCTATAAGATTCAAGTGATATCTCTAGTCTCAACTCTATTCAAATTGAAAATCGAACATCAGTCATTGATTATAGAATACAAATGTTGAACCACTTGAGCTAATGACTTTTGGTAGAACATGGTGTGTGTTTTTAATAGCACTAGAAATTAGAAAATACCATTAATTGTTGGTGATTGACACACTTGGCACATAGCTTCTAAGGGAAACTTTTTTGGCATAGTGACCCCTTTTCCTTCGGTCATATCAATTTCTTCCTTGCTAGTTCTTTTCCACTCAAAACATTGAATTAACAAGGCCAGAGTTAAGCTGACTGTACGTTGGGCCAAGTTTGCACCAGGACAAGCCCTCCTCCCTAATCCAAATGAAAGTAACTTGCTTGCTTCACTTTCCTTCTCAAACCTCTCGGGCTTAAAATGTGTTGGATCACTCCACAACTTGGGATCTCTGTGAATAGCCCAAGCATTAACTAACAAAATTGTGTTTTGAGGGACATTATATTCTCCTATGGTGCAATATTCTGAAGACAAATGGGGTACCAACATTGGCGCAGCAGGATGTAAACGAAGTGTCTCATAAACAATGCTCTGAAGGTAGGAGAGTTTCGAAAGGTCAGGTTCATCAACTAAGCAATTTTGTCTAATATGAGTGTCTAATTCATTTTTTGCCTTCTTCAATATTTCTGGATGGTTTAATAAATTAGACATGGCCCATTCTAATGTTACTGATGATGTGTCTGTTCCTGCAAGTAGCATAACCTGTAAATTCGAGGAAAACATTAATACAACAAATAAGAAAATCATTTTTTTTTACTTTAAATTTTAGTTTTCATCTTTAGAACATTATGTGAATCATATCCATGAAAAAAATAATTAATTAATACATTTTGATGCAATGAAATTAATCCCCACTCTAATAATTAATAAAAGAGATGAGTCTTATTATACACTTGCTTTCTAAGATACTTTGTGTATACCATAACTTAGGAGTTGAAAATGCAAATTTGTACTACAACATAATATGGTTATAGTAAAATAAATTCAGAAATTAGTTACAACAATCAACTATAAAATAGTTACAAACCTCATTTATTAATTTAAGAAGAATCTTTAATGACAACCTAAAAAGGACAAAAGAAAAGTCTTTACATACACGAGACAAGTGCAATTAAATAATAATTTAATTTTAAGATCACTAGGATTAATCTAGTGATCGAGAGAAGAAATTGGAATAGAAGTAGAAAGACCTAAATTTGATATTTGTCGGGTCTTTATAATCTTTCATATGGATCACAAAACTAAATAGTAATTTAAATGTCTAAAAAAAGATGTGGTAGACTTCTAGTTATTAATGATATAAAGATATCTAGCTATTAATTTGAGTCATTGATGGAGTGATATCCAAACAAACACAATTTGAGTTTTACTAAATTATATTTTTTGCCTTTTCTCTTAATATTTATATTTATTTTCATCTTTAATTTTTTAAATGTTTATTTTAATCTTTTATCTTTTATATTTTAATTGATTTAGTTATTTTAAAATAATAATCTTTTTTTAATATGAGATACAATTTTGAATTGAGATTTTTAACCTATTTAAGACATGAAACTTGACACATTAGACCCACCTTTATAAAAAATATTCGACACTTAGGCCCTTGTTCTCCTCCTCCAGGACCTTATTCTCCCCCTTTAGGACCTTGTTCTCGTCCCTCAAGGGTTGAACTCGGCCCCTTAGTCTGGCTAAATCCTCCTACTGTTTGGACCACTAAGGCTTCTAGTGGCCCACAATGGCCATAGCCCTCTACAGAAGGACCTGGGCAGCGTCAAAACTATCCTCGGGCCCGACCTCATCTATTAGCCCCTGGTCCTCGGAGCTCAGCGAGCCTTGAGGGAAGAACTTCTCGGCAGTCACCCCCGCGCTCCACAACGAGTCCATGTCAGCCGAGGTGCTCACATGGTCCAATCGCACCTTTGAAAGGCCCTTCCCGAAGTGGTGGGCTATGTATCGGCTCTGGAAAGCCCCCTGCGGCGAACCAGATGGCGGCATCAGAAGACAGCTCGGTAGTGTTACGCCGAGAGTCTGAAGATCTCCTCGTCCGGAAAGCAAAGCAAGGGGGATCCCCCCACTGTAGCTCACATCGCCCGCAGGGAAGCCACCAACCTTGGCCCGAGGACCGATCCCTATAGTCTTCCTTAAGTTCCATTTCTTTTTTTTTTTATTAACGAAGTTGTGCACTCTTTTCCCGCCTCAGTCTTTGGCTGAGAGGGTTTTTAACGAGGCACACAGACATAATCAATAAAATGGCTCATTTTGCTCAATCCATATTCATATTTATAAAAAAAAGGACGAAATCGAACCAACCTCTTTCACTCTCACCAAAGTCGAGTTCGAGCCTTAATAAAGTCATTTTACTCCAATATAAGGTCGAGTATGAACCTTAAGCACGCTTATCCAAGGTCGAGTCCAAACCTCGTTAAAATCACGAGGTCGAGTACGAACCTTAATACTCTTATCCGAGGTCGAGTCTGAACCTTGTTAAAATCACGAGGTCGAGTACGAACCTTAATACTCTTATCCGAGGTCGAGTCCGAACCTCGTTAAAATCACGAGGTCGAGTTCGAACCTCATGAAAACTCACCTAACTCTATCACGAGGTCGAGTTCGAACCTCATGAAAACCCACCTAACTCTATTATGAGGTCGAGTAAGAACCTTAATACTCTTACCCGAGGTCGAGTTCGAACCTTATGAAAACTCACCTAACTCTATTATGAGGTCGAGTACGAACCTTAATACTCTTACCCGAGGTCGAGTTTGAACCTCATGAAAACCCACCTAACTCTATTATGAGGTCGAGTCCGAACCTCGTTAAAATCAAGAGGTCGAGTTCGAACCTCATGAAAACTCACCTAACTCTATTATGAGGTCGAGTACGAACCTTAATACTCTTACCCGAGGTCGAGTTCGAACCTCATGAAAACTCACCTAACTCTATTATGAGGTCGAGTACGAACCTTAATACTCTTACCCGAGGTCGAGTTCGAACCTCGTGAAAATTCACCTAACTCTGTTATGAGGTCAAAAGCGAACCTTAATACTCTTATTCAAGGTCGAGTCTGAACCTCAGGTCGAATTCGAACCTTCCCGAAACGAGTCATTTAGCAAAAAACCAAGGTCGGGGTCTAACCTCGGCATGACCAACTCGGAGCAAAGTATCACCACGCATAAAAACACACAACAGACACCAAACATGTCTCAAAACGCGCAAAAACAGTAAAAATTAAAGCGCAATTCGACAAAGCAAATTACGCACATACAAAGCTATGTTTACCAAGTCCAATACATGAATTCAAGGAACGGAAAAATAAAACAGAAAAGCATTAACTGGCCTACGTAGAGGCGTTTTCACTGGAGCTACCCTCGAGGTCGTCCTCCTTTACCAACTTCCCAAAGCGGACTACCTTCTCCACATGCATGGTAGAGAAGTCGAACCCCGGGGCAAGAAGGCTTGCTTGACGAGCCGCCTTGAGGAAACCGTGCTTATGCTCAACCATGATAGCTCGTTCGGTTTCCCCCAGCCTCTACTCCAGCGCCGCCCTCTCCGCCTCCTGCTTGGCCAACTCCTCTTTCAAGGCGGCGACCTCTTCCTCTTTGCCGCCGATCATGACCTCGTCACAGATGCACTTCTCGGTCGTCGTCGCCAGCTCACTCTTCAGAGAGATCACTTCATCCTCCAAAGAGCGAACCCGACCACGAGAGGACGTCACCTCATCTTCGAGGAAGCGCACCCGACTTCGGGACGAAGAGGCCAACCCCTGCAGCTCGCCCACTTGAGAAGCATAGTTATCGTTCAAGCGCAGAGCAATCTCTAGGGACTTCTGCACCCTCGCAAGATCCCCCCTCGCGGCTCGAAATTCGACACTTAGGCCCTTGTTCTCCTCCTCCAGGACCTTATTCTCCCCCTTTAGGACCTTGTTCTCGTCCCTCAAGGGTTGAACTCGGCCCCTTAGTCTGGCTAAATCCTCCTACTGTTTGGACCACTAAGGCTTCTAGTGGCCCACAATGGCCCCGATATCATCCTCATTATAGTGTTAAACGTCATTTCCGAAAACCTAGAATAAGAAAATAATTTGTATAATTATTAAGAGACAAAAGAAAAAAGAAAAAAAACTGAAATACAATAATTGATAGCAGATTAGCATGGAGTTGCTATGGTACCCTTCTAATTCAGAGGTTTTGGTACAGCCAATTTTTAAAATCAATAAAAAAAAATAAAAGTGTAGCTTTTTTCTTTTCATGTGTTATTGATAAAAAAAATAATTTAAGTAATTAACATACTCTTTTTTCTCACTAAATACTAGCTCAAATATTTTAAATTATTTTATCAAAATCAAAATAATTTTGAAAAAAAAAATAACAATTCTTTTTTGCTAAAATAGAGGAAGATTTTGTGAATTTTTATTTAATTTTTTCACAAAATTTACATAAAAATATAAAAAAATCTCAATATATCTTGACTCATAATATATAAAAAAAATATCTTTAATAAATTTAAATGTTTCATGTAATATATATATACATATATAAGAATTTTAAGAAAATAATAAATGTAATTTCTATAAACATCAAATGTTCACACATTCTTTTAAAAAAATAAAAACAGTTTTAAAATCCTTTAAATTTTCAAGGCTACCATATAGAATTTCAATAGATAAAATAAAAAAAAAACAAAAAAATATTACGGATTGAAATGCTAGAGGTATGAGTTGTTTAACAATATTGACCTTGACTTAAGTTCCACTTTGGTAAAGCCGTTGTGTGAGTCGTGAGCTAGCTTTCGCACGAGCCTCATGATCTCGTCCCTTCGGATTTCCAAGAAGGAGTTTAAACGGTGCGTTGAGAGAACCTCGAGCGCCATGATGCGGCGGAGGTTGCGCCAGTGGTCGCCGTAGTTGGATACCGTAACGGTGGTGTTGTTGTAGCCGATGTACTCGCCCGCGAGAAAGTGGGGCCGGTTCGCCAAGACGATGTCGTTTTTGGTGAAGCATTCTTGCACCGCGGGGAACGACGAAACGACAACGACGAAACGGGAGCCGAACCAGAGAGAGAAGACTTGGCCATATTTTAGTGATATGGCATGGAACGTGCGGTGGAGGGGTTGTTTGAGTTGGTGGAGGTTTCCGATTATGGGGAAAGAAGGTGGCCCTGGAGGGAGGTTTCTGAATCTTCTTGATTGGAACAAGAGCTTCAGAGAGAAGAGAAAAATGATAACTAGGACGGACAAGTAAAAAGGAGTCATACTTGAAGCTTCGTTGGTTGTGTTGTGGATTTGTGATTGTAATCTAGCTAGATATATGGAGATTGGTGAGTGCTAGGCCAATGCTATGTTGGGTTCATTCCGATTTCTGACCCACACTTGCATGTGGTTTATGAAGACACGTGTTGGTGTTGGCCGTACAAACAAAATTCAACGTGGATATTTGGCTTGGGTGAGGTTTGAACTTGCGTCATCATCAGTACATTACGTGTTAGTATGGCTTACCAAAAAAGAGGACAGAAACTATATGTAACATTCAAAGCAGCTAAAATGAGTAGTATGTTATGTCTGCTCAGATTACGTGAAATATTTTTTCACTCTCTCCTTCATTTGTTTTGGAGTAAATTATAATATTATCTATAAGATACATGAGTATTATTTTTTTACATGATAAAACGTTCCAAAATTGATCAAAGACTAATCTGTATTTAATATTAACAAATTATATTTTTTTCCCTTAATATATGTAAAGTATGAATTTATTTTCTTTTCATATTTTAAAATATAGAATAAATTATACTTTTATTTCTTAAAATTATATTAAAATATATAATTTAGAGTATTTAATTTAATATTATTAAAGAACATTCATTATAAGTTTTTAAAATATATTTTAATTAAATATATGTTAAAATATTTTTATGTTATTGAGATTCATCCACTTTATAAAAAAATGTAAAATATATAATTACATTCAAAGTAATTTACTAAAATAATAAATAAAATATATATTGTACTGTCCGTATTGCAAAGCCAAGCTCCGAGCTCGGCATTACAGCGTAAGATAACCTCGGGCGCGTGCTACGCGACGTCAGCTCGGCATTTAAGTAGATCATAACTGATCTCAAGGGACCTCGTTCCAGACGAGATCCATTATCTAATCTTATCATATCTTATCTCAGGCCCAAGGCCCAAAGCAACCCTAATTGACACTAAGGTACGTGCATTACTTATACGAGACTCATACTCCCACAAACACTAACTTTAGCATCGGATTCGGAGTCCCTTTTGCAGGTACCACCCCCGTCTTGGAGCACCAGCGTACCAGTGAAGGAGGCTCACCGATCTTACCTGGCGGATCAGCCCTACAGCAGATTTCCGGTAAGAACATTTGGCGCCCACCGTGGGGCCGATTAAGACAGCTCTTATCGGCCACGCTTATGGTTTGCACCAGAAACCATAGCAGACGAGCGACAGACGACGCAGATCATACAACTACCATGGATAGTGAAGCGACATTAAGGAGGCTGATCGATCAGGTCGAACAGATGCGGCAGCAACACGCCGCCGATCTACAAAACATGCGTGCCCAGCACGACACTGATCTAGCGGCAATGCATATCGCTAATGAAGCTGACCTGGCAGCGCTACGCGCCGAGAACGAGCGTATTCGCGCTCAACTCCCTCGACGCCACTCTGATCACCCTCCTCATGTGAGCAGCCACCACGAGGAAGAAGAACATTCAGTCTCTCAACCTCGGACTGCGACCAAGGCACCAACTCAACGACCTCCCACGCATCGGTCTCATGCACCGACGCACAAGTCAACCCATGAAGTCAGCAAGGCCCCTACTCATGTCCCAGGGGATCAGGCAACCTTCCGACGCCACCCATTTGTGGATGGCATCATGGAGACCCCACCCCCTCATGGGTGGAAGCCTCTCCACCTCGATCGCTATGATGGCACGACGGACCCGGATGAGCACATCGACCTGTACATGACGCAGGTAAACCTCTATACTAACAATGACACTATCTTGTGTAGGGTGTTCCCGACCTCACTTAAGGGGGCCGCGCTCAACTCGTACACCCAACTGCCTGCCGAGTCCATTGACAGCTTCGGCACCCTAGTCAGGAGGTTCACCACGCAATATGCGACGAGCCGACCTCACCATGTCACTTCAGCCGCCCTGGCCAGTCTCAGGCAAAACGACGACGAACCACTCCGGGCGTTCATGGAACGGTTCGCCGCCACCTCGATTAAGATCAGGAACCTGAATCCCAAGGTCGCCCTACATGCCATGCTCATGGCACTCAAGCCCGGGCCATTCGTCGACAGCCTGTGTCGTGAGTCTCCCCGTGACATGGACGAGCTCCGCACCCGCGCTGCAGGCTACATCCAGATGGAGGAACACTCCGCCTTCCGTGACCAGGTTCGCAGAAAAGGACCCGCAAAGCCAGAGCAGGGGCACAACGATAAAATCAAAGTCAACAACGACAGCCAGTTCAAGAAGTTGGCCAGGGCAAACAGAGGGGGGAGATATTACTCCTACACTCCCCTGAACGCACCCAAAGTCCACATCCTGGAAGAAGCCAGCAACAGCAACCTACTCGCCCTTCCACCACCAGGCCACACTCCCAACAGCGCCGACAAATCCAAGCATTGTCAATACCACAGGAACCACGGTCACACCATGGAGGAGGGTCGCACGCTCCGGGACCGTATCGAAGAGCTCATCCAGGCAGGTCACCTCGGCCAATACATCCAGTGACAGCAGGGTCACCGAGGGGGCTATGGTGGTCTGGGGCAAGCCAGAGGCCGAGGTTCGGGAGCTCGCACGGATCAACCCTCTGGCTCCCAACAAAATGCTGGCGGCGCAGTGCAAGCCGAGATAAGCCAGGAGACAGGGACAGCCCCCTTACAAGGAGTGATTAACACAATCGCAGGTGGTTTCGCTGGGGGAGGCACCAGCAGCTCGGCCCGGAAGAGGCACCTACGGAACATCAATTGCATCCACTCTACCACCTCGGCCTCGCACCAAAGCTCACCGCCGATCTCTTTCTCTGACGAGGACTACGCGGGTGTCAGCCTTAACCAAGATGATCCCATGGTCATCGTCGTGGAAGTCGCCAACTGGGAGGTACAGAAGACACTCATTGACCAAGGGAGTTCGGCTGACGTCCAGTACTGGCCGACGTTCCTCAGGCTAGACGTCCCCCATTCTCTCATCCAACCTCACACGGAGCCCCTAGTCGGTTTCGCAGGAGAGCAAGTTCACACTCGCGGGTACGTAGACCTACTGACAATTTTCGGAGTACCTTCGGATACAAGGAGAATCATGGTTCGATACCTCCTCGTGGAGGCCAACACCTCCTATAACATCATCATCGGGAGGCCAACCCTGAATCAGCTCGGAGTGGTGGTATCCACTCCACACCTCACCATGAAGTTCCCAGGGAATGACGGGAAAATCATCTCCGTCAAAGCAAATCAGAAGACAGCTCGGTAGTGTTACGCCGAGAGTCTGAAGATCTCCTCGTCCGGAAAGCAAAGCAAGGGGGATCCCCCCACTGTAGCTCACATCGCCCGCAGGGAAGCCACCAACCTTGGCCCGAGGACCGATCCCTATAGTCTTCCTTAAGTTCCATTTCTTTTTTTTTTTATTAACGAAGTTGTGCACTCTTTTCCCGCCTCAGTCTTTGGCTGAGAGGGTTTTTAACGAGGCACACAGACATAATCAATAAAATGGCTCATTTTGCTCAATCCATATTCATATTTATAAAAAAAAGGACGAAATCGAACCAACCTCTTTCACTCTCACCAAAGTCGAGTTCGAGCCTTAATAAAGTCATTTTACTCCAATATAAGGTCGAGTATGAACCTTAAGCACGCTTATCCAAGGTCGAGTCCAAACCTCGTTAAAATCACGAGGTCGAGTACGAACCTTAATACTCTTATCCGAGGTCGAGTCTGAACCTTGTTAAAATCACGAGGTCGAGTACGAACCTTAATACTCTTATCCGAGGTCGAGTCCGAACCTCGTTAAAATCACGAGGTCGAGTTCGAACCTCATGAAAACTCACCTAACTCTATCACGAGGTCGAGTTCGAACCTCATGAAAACCCACCTAACTCTATTATGAGGTCGAGTAAGAACCTTAATACTCTTACCCGAGGTCGAGTTCGAACCTTATGAAAACTCACCTAACTCTATTATGAGGTCGAGTACGAACCTTAATACTCTTACCCGAGGTCGAGTTTGAACCTCATGAAAACCCACCTAACTCTATTATGAGGTCGAGTCCGAACCTCGTTAAAATCAAGAGGTCGAGTTCGAACCTCATGAAAACTCACCTAACTCTATTATGAGGTCGAGTACGAACCTTAATACTCTTACCCGAGGTCGAGTTCGAACCTTATGAAAACTCACCTAACTCTATTATGAGGTCGAGTACGAACCTTAATACTCTTACCCGAGGTCGAGTTCGAACCTCGTGAAAATTCACCTAACTCTGTTATGAGGTCAAAAGCGAACCTTAATACTCTTATTCAAGGTCGAGTCTGAACCTCAGGTCGAATTCGAACCTTCCCGAAACGAGTCATTTAGCAAAAAACCAAGGTCGGGGTCTAACCTCGGCATGACCAACTCGGAGCAAAGTATCACCACGCATAAAAACACACAACAGACACCAAACATGTCTCAAAACGCGCAAAAACAGTAAAAATTAAAGCGCAATTCGACAAAGCAAATTACGCACATACAAAGCTATGTTTACCAAGTCCAATACATGAATTCAAGGAACGGAAAAATAAAACAGAAAAGCATTAACTGGCCTACGTAGAGGCGTTTTCACTGGAGCTACCCTCGAGGTCGTCCTCCTTTACCAACTTCCCAAAGCGGACTACCTTCTCCACATGCATGGTAGAGAAGTCGAACCCCGGGGCAAGAAGGCTTGCTTGACGAGCCGCCTTGAGGAAACCGTGCTTATGCTCAACCATGATAGCTCGTTCGGTTTCCCCCAGCCTCTACTCCAGCGCCGCCCTCTCCGCCTCCTGCTTGGCCAACTCCTCTTTCAAGGCGGCGACCTCTTCCTCTTTGCCGCCGATCATGACCTCGTCACAGATGCACTTCTCGGTCGTCGTCGCCAGCTCACTCTTCAGAGAGATCACTTCATCCTCCAAAGAGCGAACCCGACCACGAGAGGACGTCACCTCATCTTCGAGGAAGCGCACCCGACTTCGGGACGAAGAGGCCAACCCCTGCAGCTCGCCCACTTGAGAAGCATAGTTATCGTTCAAGCGCAGAGCAATCTCTAGGGACTTCTGCACCCTCGCAAGATCCCCCCTCGCGGCTCGAAATTCG